ATCACCTTCCCACCCCTCTCCGCCCAAAGTGTCCCAAAGTCCGTAGAGTGTAGCTGTGACGCCATTCTGAGAAAGACGAAGCATCAGCAGTTGGTCGCCCTTGTCACTCTCCATCGCTTGCACCCTGTGCCCTTTCTTTGTCGGACACGACACACAGTTTGTGACCAGAGCGGAAATGTGAAAATATCCCTACAGAGAAAGCATGCGGCATGCGAACTAATTTTGGGCCTTGGAAGCCCAACATCCAACACTTATGACATCACCTTATTTCAGATGCCATTGGAAGTTGATACCCATGAGTCCTATCATGGGTATATGAATGCAAATAATAACTACCGGTACTCTTTTTTTTCCCCCCTCTAATCAGTTGTGTAGACCCTACCCCTAAATAATAGTAGAATTAAAGTTATTTTTGGAACCCATTCTATTCAGTCTATCAATCCTTTGAAGGTCTTCGTATTTCGATACACATTATCCATGTTCCATGCGGTTCTGTTCAATTGCACTATTGTGATGAACAGTACCCTGAACAGTCCCACCAGCTATAAGGACTCAAAAATGATGACATACAGATTTGTTGTTTCTATGGCTTCACTTTTTGCAAATGGAAGACTGCATACAAATAGCCTAGATACTGTATAATTTAAAACCAGAAGGCAGCTTACTTCACAATAGACTGTCTACTACTAAAATGAATAATGCCCAGAGCTGCCAAATAGGTAGTATTGAATTTAAACGTATTGTTGCAAAAAAAAAAAAAAAAAAAAAAGACGAAAAAAACCCCTAATAATTTGATTCAGTCGCACATTGTCAGACCGTGCATGAGCATGTGGAGCATACGAGTAGAATAATTGTGACTTTTCTATCAAAATGCAAAGTGCAAGCAACCATCCGCCAGTAAATTTAAGCTGCTTTGTGTTTATTGTGATTCTGCAATTACAATTTGATTTTGAATGTTTATGCTATTAGCACTTTTGAATGTAAATGGTATACTAATAAACCTCAACGTTCCCACAATTACGATACACAATACTATCCCAGACATCCAGCTGGACTGTCATTATGGCCATTAGATTACATTCTGGTGGTTTTTCTCTGTTGACGCAAGTCGATAACGACCTAACAGTTGAAATACTTTCAATTAATTTTGGCAAGTTTGTGTTCATCATTGCATTTAGCAGCGCGGTGTAAAAACTCCTCGTTTACAGATAATCATAAAAGCAATTGAATCGGAAATGGGATTTCGCTTGGATAGCCCCTCTCCACTCCACGTACTTTAACGCCGTCTCCTCGATTATGTACTGACCTGGAAATTATGTTGAGTCTTTTACTGTTTATTGATTCGATAAAATCTCAGAGCAATGTGCTCAAGTTGACCCTAGCTGGAGAAATATATAATGCATTCGACTCAGAGTCATTGATCTGTTATTTGGATGAAGTGCCTTAAAAGAAACACCTCAGCTTGCCATATAATTCACATTTTCAAAGAGCATTGGTGTAAAATAAAGAAGCCGGTGCGCTACCAAGCCTTGATAACCCGAGTCGGACTTTTTGGGCAAAGTGTAACCAATTAGTGTCCCTTCCCGAGTGAGTAGTCGAGTAATGGCTTCATGTGATGATTATGCAACTGAAACAAAAGAAATTCATATGTAAAACACACAAATTCATTTTTTTTTTTTTACCCCAAACATACTATAGATGATTTCCTTTCAATGCCGTTACATTGAACCGTTAACCACCAAGCTTCGCCAGACCATCTGGTTCTCTTGGCAATGAAATGGTTTTTGCACAGCTGCCACCTCACGGGTCGCTTCACCAGAAATAACTCGCACACAATTGGTTGCCATAAACAACTACGGCCTTTGGGCGATGACGGGAGACAGCGAATGGTGAAAATACTTGATAAGGTGTGACAGATTCATTCCTTGACTCATTTTATGATGGTGTGGAGTCGTGATTGTGCCCCTGGATGCCAAGCGCCCATCATGGTGACTGCCCGGGATAACACACGGCTTGCCTTGGCTCCACAATGAGAGCTGTTGTGTGCCTCTGTGTCAAGACCACCCGTAAGGTGCCTCAAGCAAAAAGCTACGACGAGTCTGCTCGTCTCCTCGAGAAAATGACAGTACCAAATAATTTTCCTCAGGGACTTGGTACCAAGGGAGTCCATTCTTTTTCTTAATCCTCTGGATAATGAGCGAGTCTTTCGGCCATAATGCAAGACTAAGAGCACGAGGACTCTCAAGACTAGTTATCAGACTCCAGATTGGCAGGTCTCACTTCTGTTGTCATTTCACCTCAAGATATTGAGCAGTATGACAGGTAGAAAGCATCCCTGATGGACCCCTTCAATTTAATCCATCCATTTTGTAGCGCTTATCCTATTTAGGGTCATGGGAAAGATGGACCATATCCCATCTGACTGTGAGCGAGAGAGAAGATACAGTCGCGTTTGGGCAGTCGATCACGGTGCTTAGCCCTGAATCCATTTGTGTGTGGGGGTGGGTGGGGGCAGAGGGACAATGCAGGTCGGCTATGAAGTCCTTTCAACTCTGCAGGCTCCCACAACGGGCTGCACAGAGAACAGAACGAATGTTAAACAAAAGTATAGACTTCCAAAAAAATGTTTTCTCTTCAATGTTATTGTTCAATGCGAAAAGTTGAACAGAACAAAAAAAAAAAATGAAATGTATAGCAAGCACTGCAATCGTGACAATCTGAATAGTTTCATCACCTGACCACTGTCTACACTGAAAAGAAAGAAAAAAAAAACGTCTGTTGAACGTACTCAATAGCATTCTTCGTCTCGGTCACACAAAACGATGGCAGATAGTTCATGCATCTCGATTCCGCGATTGTAATCACCGCCCTATGTTCAATATAAAATTAATGGGTGGCAGAACTAAAATCATAAGGCTCTGGTGAGGCACCAGTGACCCCTGGTATGTCTTTGCAGGTCAGGGTCAATATTGTTACCAATGATATTCATCCAAGCGTTTTGCACCAAGGCGATCAATACCCAAGGAATAGGGTTGGCTTGGGTAAACACACAAAAAAGCAATTGGATTTGTGTTCCCTCATTTGTTCTTAACTTCTGCAGCCGTCAGCTCCATTTAGAAGCCTGGACAGCTGATCGCCGCACCACCTGCGCAATTTTGGGAGGGCTGCTTACCAACGTCAGGTTCCATTTGCCACCTGGGTTATGAGCACAGCTGACCTCACGAGTCAGATGCGGCGAGCACGCCGTGCGAGCTTGTTGACTGGTAGAGCAGATCGCCACAAGTGCATGAGCACACACATGGCTCGATGAGCACACGCCGCTCGCAAACGAAAGCCGCTTTGCAAATATTTGCCGTCACAAAACAAGGACGTGTCACCGATTGCTGAATTGCTCAAAAGCGATCGTTTTTTTTTTTGTTTTTGTTCGTCCGTCACACGAACGCTACTGAAAGTTCACCTTCAAAAAAAGTGCGACAGCTTCCCAACCGTTGTTTTGTTTGTACATCATTAGCTAATTTTCAAATACTGCTACTCTCAAAAAAAATGTGAGTTAAACCCTAAGGGATGCCACGCAGGTTTTATGGAGCACATCCTCCATTAGCCTTGAATCTGGCGGTTGCTAATGAGGAAACATCAGATCAGAGAGTGTTTGTGAGTTAAAGACTCCCTCTATGACTCTGTGGACATTATTAGACTTACTGAGGGAAGTGTGTGTGTGTGAGTGTGTGTGTGTGTGTGTGTGTGTGTGTGTGTGTGTGTGTGTGTGTGTGTGTGTGTGTGTCCTTGCATTAATCACTGCTTCAAGTCAGGAACAAGCTCGGACAACGCTGACATTTAGAATTCACGTTGAAACAGTTTGACGACTTGTACAATATTGAGGTCGTTGGGCTTGTATGTAAATATGCAAATATTTTTTTTCTTTTTTTTGTTGTTGTTGTTGTTGTATAAGTACAATAACTCACGCATTGCAAAAGTTTCACATGTTGAAGCAGTTTGACGACTTGTACAATATTGAGGTCGGGCTTGTATGTAAATATACAAACAAATAGTTTCTTTCTTTTTTTTTGTTGTTGTTGTTGTATAAGTAAAATAACTCACACATTGCAAAAGTTTCACCTCCATGCCAAATAAATAGATGGGAGCCCAACTCCGCTTTTAGCCAAGATTGTTTTCCCCGCTATTGCGAAATATCGTGCCAATGCGTTCAGCTGCGGTTTTAAACGTCTTTGGAAAAAACCCGTGTTTCAGAATTCCTCGGCAGTGTGAGCCTGCAATTCAATAGAGTGCCACTACACTGCCGGTGTCCAAGGTTAACCGTTTTACAACCGGAGAAGACAGCAGGGGTTCTAAACTTATTGAGGAAGACCCTCTCCATACTTCTGGTACTGTTGGAAAATACGAGAGAGCACACCTGATTTTGCGATATGAATATTTCAGTGGTGCTGCCTGTCTGGTTTGGGATGCTGTCGGTATGTGCGTACCCCACTTGAGAAATTTACATACGAATTTTGAAGACTGACAGGTTGGGACCGACATTGGCTATCGTTCTTATCTGCTTGTCGGCCGTCTCGTGTGCTAGTCCAAACAGACGAGAGGTTCGTCTCTCTTTATGCCGAGCCGAGTGACCTTTTGCGATTGTCTTGTTGCGGGCTTCTGCACAAGGGGACACGATGCTTGACCGCCGGGGGCTCGGTGATGCGAGACCTTTGATATTAGATCCAATCTTGACCTTGTATACATCCGTGCGCTGTAGATATGCAATTACATTTACTCTGCGCGCACAAAAGAAAGATAGCGTGAAAACGATGACGCCACTCCTGCACCGTCAGAAATGCTGCATAGACACAATAATTTAGGAGATAATACATTGCGCACATGACTGTCGACATGGTAGGGGGTTTGGGGGGAGAAAAAAGGGAAGAAAACCACTGAAATGGGCAATTTAATAACACGCTCTATAACTCTGAACAGCAATTTGCCTTATCTATGTCGTCATGCAGGTAGCTGCGAGTGTGTCGACCGCATGTGTTCCAGAGGTGGTCCGTGATAAGGAAGAGAAGATATAAAAATACAGAGACGTGACTGAGGTACTAAAAGAAATGAGGCGGTCGCCTCCATGAGAAACAAGTCACTGAAAGAGAGTTGTTTCATTTGCCAACCAGAAGAGGATGAAACAGCGCCAAAGGCTCACCTGCCAGAGGATATGCAGATCAATTCACAAAAGAAAACACTTTTCATGTGTTTCACTGGCTTCAGCGTTGGCTTTGTATAAGATCATGTAGCATTGAGTTCCTTTGCTCGGATGATCCGTCCGTCCATTTTCTATGCCGGTTGTCCTCATTAGAGTCCTGGGTGAACTCGTACCTTTCCCAGCCGATGTTTAGTTTGTAACGTTGCATGGGGGTTACGTTTATTTGGCTGCTCCTTGCACGTAAGCGTTCCCCTTGCCATATTTTTCAGTTAGAATTGATATTCAGTTATATTTATCTGCATGTGCAAACTTATTTTCTTCACCGTGTTTGTCAGTCTTCAAAGTTAAGGTTGAGTATATGCTTTTTGGGTTCCATATGAACAGTGGTTAACTTATTTTTACACTTGTATCATTTACGAAAAGTTGAGTGCACATGTTCCGAGCAGATGCGTGTACAAATTTTGTTTTATTTTTCTGTTTCCTGTTTTAGCATTGTATTTACTTTGTTTGCTTTTATGACAAATTAAAAAAAAAAATTGTTGCAGTGCAGTTTACAGTTTACTCATAAAAAACTTTTTTTACTCCTGCATGACACTTATTTCAGTTATTTGTTTTTTAATGGCAAATGGCCCTTTTCTGGAACTTATTTGTTCTGTTTTCGTTAAATACTTATATGAAAAAATATATTTATTACCATTATTTCATTGTAGGAGAAATTGTGACTTATAAAAAGTAACAATACCAAACACATACTCATAAAAAACTTTTTTTACTCCTGCATGACACTTATTTCAGTTATTTGTTTTTTAATGGCAAATGGCCCTTTTCTGGAACTTATTTGTTCTGTTTTCGTTAAATACTTATATGAAAAAATATATTTATTACCATTATTTCATTGTAGGAGAAATTGTGACTTATAAAAAGTAACAATACCAAACACATCAACAAAGATGAATAATCAGCACCTCGGAGCCGTGGGCTTCAAAGTTTGCATGCTACACTTCTATTTATTGGCCTGTGAGAAATGAGATTAACTGCGATCATTCGAATTAATGTGACGCCTGCCTCAGGCTCTGCCTCAAAGGGTAATTGTCAAATTCTGGCTGCGTGGATAAGTTATCATGAACAAAATCCAATTGAGTTCAAATAAATAAAACGTGGTGTTCACCAGCATCGCAAGAATGACAGAGCAAAAAAAAAAAAAAAACCCTCCAAACTGCACTCAGCGTTTGTGCCTAATTATAGATCCATATTACATCCTTGAACTACAAAGTCATTGTCACAAGTCGACACATTAATATCACTCTACTACTTCATTTATGTTTAAAATTCACACTCTACACCCACGGTGGTGTCAAAATGAAGAATATTAATTTTTTTTTTTTTTTTTTTGTCAATACGCCAATAACTGAAGTCCCCAATCAGGTGTATTAAATAAATATATTCAAGGCAAGCCAGTAGGTGACACTGTTCTCTATAAACATCTGTCACTTTGCTGTGTGACTTTCAGTGTTTCTCCTCTGAAATATTCCACACCGTGACAAAGAAGCAGTCTGGACTCCATCATTAATAAAGAAAAAAAAAGAAAAAAATTGAGTATCTTTTTTTTTCCCCAAGACACTAATTGTCTCTTAACATGATTGAGTTCTGATGAGAATATTTAACTCAAGGACGATGCTATTCAGTTGACTCCCAAATAGTGTAATTGCGCGCACGCGTGTGTGTGTGTGTGTGTGTGTGTGTGTGTGTGTGTGTGTGTGTGTGTGTGTGTGTGTGTGTTGCTTAAATTTAATTTGGTGCGGATTTACTCAGGTGCTGCACCGGTGTTGCCATGTTAGTTAGACTCCATGAATCATGGGTAATGAGAGCCTCATGCCACCGTTGACTGCAGGCAGACACTGCGCTGACTTTATAAATGCCCTTCGGCGACTAGACTGGAGCCATCAGGTGAGCGAATCGTCCTCAGTTGATATAAAAATCCGCCTGCTTCCTTTTTTGTTTATTATTGCCGTAATAAGTTAGCGACTCGATTTTTTATTTTTGTTTTGCTTACTCAAAACCAGATCACTAAAATGAAAACTGCATATACTGCTTCTCCCCATCCATATTTATTTTTCCTTGCACTAAATGCATGGTTAATAGTTGTGCTTTAAATTCTCTCGCCGATGTAACCATACGAGTATTCGTTTCGCTTCCCGCAGAGTTCCTACGGCGATGACCTCAACGGATTGAACGTTGGAAGCTGTCCTAGTCCGTCACGAACGTGGCAGTAGACGCATAATTTTTCTCTGAAAACTTGGCCAAACATGCCAGCCCTTTCTGCAGGCGAAACGCCACTATTATGCTGTGAAAAATCTGCACGCTGTCACCAACAATTGTTTCCAACGGCGCCCAATTGCAAAAATGTTGACAACCCTCTTGTCGCACCAAAGTGGAAAAACACACAAACGTCGGGGGATTGTCATCCGTTCCCCAGAATCTCAAACGCACGCTCCGACAAAGTATATAGGCAGACCGACACATACCGTACTTGCCCTCAGTGGTTCTTCCCCATTTCCCTTTAATAATCATCTGAAGGTCAGTCGGAACGGGGCCACTGGCGATCGACTGCAATTGCAATTTAGCACAAAGACAATCAGACTGTGATAGTACAGCCCACCCCCACCTCTGCCCCACACTCCATCCGCGATCGTTCCAATCCCCTCACCGATGCCCGATCGTCATCTTTCTCCCACTCTGAAGCATTCCATCTGCCGGTAGCCATTCTCTCATTCATTTATGCCATCTGTGCTTCTTCTTTTTTTTTTTCTCCTCTAACGTTCATTGACCTTTTTTTTGCTCATTACCCTTTTACAACTGCACACAATCCATCCAGCTGAAGCATAGGCATTCTCTTCATGGACAAATACAAACCACAAAGGAGTATTTGGAGAACAAAGCTGTAATATGTACCAGTCCATGTCAAAATCCTCACGTGAAACCAAGTCGTAAATCGCTAGCCATTGTGACTAAGATTTACTTTTAGTGATGGGGTAAAATTATTACGTGATAAAAGCACTTCTGGCTGACGATCAAACAAAGCCAACAATACTAACAGGATAAGGAACAGACAAAACTGCACAAAGCAAACTATTTTCTTTCCAGTCTGGCCCCCAACACGTCAATGTTTAACCACACACAAATCATCTTAGAATGGACACTTTGCGAGTACTCATTTGAGGACTGAGAGCAAATTACAAACAGTTAAAGTGACTGTGATCTGCACTGATGGTTCCACTAATAGACCGTGGCAAATTAACGAGCCATCAATATCGATTTTTGGATACTTGAGTCTTAAATGAACCGCTATGGTGTTGATAAGAAGATAAAAATGAGCATGTGTTCGTGACATTAGAGAGCGACTGACGAAATGTAGAGCGTATAATGCATACATTTAGCAGCGCATTGCCCAATATTTCTCCACAATCATCGAGATGTTGCAAATGTGCGTGGTTAAGCAGACGTGCTTCTGGATTAAGCCCCAAGTATGTATGACAAAACACATTTGGATTTAAAACTAAACCGAAAAATCACCCTTGGTTCTGCTGCGAGTACCATGAGTAACCCATTCGAGTTGATCCGGAAAAGCGACCAGAATATGCTGCAGGTAAGGTCTTCTATTATTTATTGTTTGTGTTATCTCTGAGCATGGCACAGTCAGATACGGTACAACAGGGTAAAGTTCTTAAATTCACATGTTTTTGGTTCACCATCAACCTGGTCGTGGAGTAATTTGTTTTCAAGGTCAAGAGGTCTGACCGCCGAACGCCTATGGCAAGAAAATAATGGGCGCCAAAGCGATCGGCATTCCTTACCTACCCTATTATTTGGATATGCTGCCCTCCGGCCTTGTCATCTTCTCCAAAAATGACCGTCACTCTTCGAGATTGACAAAATGAATCAGCCTTAAAGGGGGAGGCTTGAAAACAAGTTTTTTGGTTTTTGTTTTTTTTAATTGCTACAACTGTATTCAAAGAGCATTGTGATTGCATTAAGATTGGGGGGGGGGGGCTGTGGGACTCTTTCACCGCAACTACTACGGTTGGATCTATGAAGCAATATGGATGGGTTACGACAGCTGTGTGTGTCACACACACACACACACACACACACACACACACACACACACACACACACACACACACACACACACGGCTATACAGTTAGCATTAGCATTAGCATCCAAATCTATTCATCGTCAACGAGCTCTGCCGTGAGATTTGCAGATGTTCACTGACACGCCTTCGACATACATAAGAGAAATTTTCCTGCTGCGAATTTCGATGTTGATGAGAGTTCATCCTGCCGCTTGGTGACGGAAGAGCTTTTATCCCCGGGTGTGCGTTTATAATTGAAGCTCATAAATAAATTTTTAAAAGAAAAGACTCCGAGGTGTTCTTTAATACATTCGGTGGATGTACGCGAGCAGGCGCTGGCTTGCTGACTGTTAAAAAATGAAGAATGCCACCGTATCCCAGCAGCAGGTTGTTAGCGCGCGTAACTCTCTCCAGTAAAGCCTTCCCCCTTTGGCGTGGAACAATCTAATTAGGCCAAAATGTAGCCGCTCATTAATTAATCACAGCTCCGTGTTTTAAGGGATTGATGGAGTTTCTTTACTATATGTGGCTTAATTAAAGTCTCCAAGACATGTTTTGTTTTTAGCTTATGTTGTCATTTCACTTGCAGCCCCAGCTCTCTCTACATGCAGAAGTGGGTTACGTGATATAATAAGCTCCCGGATTTTACCGTTTTACGGCATGTAGACAAGTAGTCGTGCCCTTACTAATTATCGTCCCTGTTTATGCTCCCACACAAAAGCAGTGACTTGAACTACAGTATAAGGATACAATATAGCTCAGATACAAAAAAAGACAAATTAATATACATATATATATATATATATTTATTTATTTATTTTTTTTGTTAATTGGGTAAAACAATGTAATAGCTGTAGATCACAGTAACAGAATATCTCAGTTGCAAAATATACTATCATAAAGATAAATATGCCCAATAACCTTATCCACAAGCTCTATCTGGTGATGTAAAAGAATGTGATTTTTGTTTTTTTTTCGTAGGAAATATGCTAATGTAGAAGAAAACGCCCCGCAGGGCAACTCCAATTAGTTTAAATGCAGGGACACACCAGCAGTGACTTAAAATCATTTTGGCACAAGAGATAGTGCTGAAGTTTAAACAAAGAAAGAAAGTACAAAGACATACACTTGGACAGGACTAATTGTAAATCTTGTGGTCTTGTACAAATCACGGGGGGGGGGGTGTCTGAGGACGGGGGTGTTTGATTTAGCATCCAGTAAATGTGGTGATCTAAAAACCAGCAGCGCACTGAAGGACGGCAAGCAGAAGGTCACCTTTTGTTTCATTAAAACTTTGAGACAGCACAAAATAAGACCATGTCTGACCTGCTCTGATGTCATCCTAATTCATTATGACCGGTCGGAA